TTTATACAAAACCAAGAAAAAGTTTCACCTACTTAGAAAAAAAAAACAATACTAGCTATAGATTTCTGAGAGTTATGAGAACAAACATTTATAAGAATGCACTAAAGTCAAAAGAGCGGAATCAGTGATGGCAGATTCCATCCGAAAACTCTGAAGGAGTTAAGAATTCCTTTTTCTTCACTGCCACAGGTACTTTCCCACTTATAAATTAAATCTGGCTTCTTATAATTAGACATAATTACTTTGACAAGTCAAAGAACAGCTAAAATTTGCTTTGCCATTACTCTATATTCTGAATAAGCTGAATTAAAAGATGGTTAGAAATGTCATTATCACTCCACCACAGCTTACAAATGGGATATCTAAGACTGAGAGTGTGGGGGGAAGTGGATGGCAAAGAAGTTTTTCAGAATACTAAAACCTGCCCCAGAATCTGATACATTATATGAGGGAGGCATAAGAAGCCAGAGTATAAGGAGAGACATAAGTATTGCATATGCCAACTGTCTTAGGCAAAGAAACAGAAAATAACCCATTTTTAAAAGGACATATGAAAACACAAATTGGAACAATTCTTAATAAAGAACTTAATAAAAACATTACTTACAAAATACCAAAACATCAAGGTAAAACAGTAATAATCTGTCTACTAATTTTACATTGGAGACAGCAGACCGACACCAGAGAGGATTGGAACACTGAAGTTCCCTGAGGGCAAACCCCTACTTTTCTTGCTCCAATCAGTATTCCCCAACACCTGGCATGCAGGATAGGTGACAAGGATCCATACAAGTTAGGAAAGGAGGTGTTGGGGTCATATTGTCTGGGTTTGACAGCCAGCTGTATCATTTGCCAGCCTACGATGCTGAGCAATTCACAAAGCTCCTTTGTACATCAATTTTTTTATCTGCAAAATGGTACTTAGGCATAAGGTTGTTTAAAGAGCAATAACGAGAATAACAACAAACACATGTAGCGCTTAATTTGATGCCAGACATTGTTCTAAACACTTTGCATTTACACTATTTATTTCTTTCTCCTTAAAACCTTCTGAGATAGAAACTAATGTCTCAATTGAAAAGCAAGGAAACTGAGACTCAGAGAAGTTAGTAACTTGTCCAAGGACATGTGACTAGTGAGAAAAAAAAAATTCCGTTTCCAACCACCCCATCATCATTGAGATAAACTTGTGTTAAGGCTTAGTACAGTGCCTGGCATATAGCACATCTTCAATAACTAATAGTTATTAATAAATATTTGTCAAATGTTTGCAAGATTCTGAGGTTATACCAGGCTTCAGCAGGAAAGAATGCTGTAATTCACTGTTGATGTGTCTGTGGGTGTGGAAGGTATTAATGATCACACTTGTGCCACAGGTTTTCAATCTCTGTTTCACATAAAACAAAGAATCCTGACATCTACCTGAGGTTTTCTTTTATCCATCTCAATGTCCCTGGGATCTGAGGTCAGACTGCCTGCCATAAGACACTGGATTATCACTTCCACTCCCTAAAACTAATCCACTCTCCACCCAATTGCCAAAGTGCTCTTCTGACAAGGTACTTTCCTCATTTGCTCCCTTTCAAGGAACCTACAATTGGGTACCACATGAAATCAAAATTCCACTCCTAGCTTTCAAGGGCCTTAATCAGACATGGTGGACACCTGCTTTTAACTCCTGTTCAAGTGCTCAAGTGCCTACTTATCAAATAAATACTTGGTAGAAATGGCCACATTTCATTATGCAGAGAATAGCATTGATTGTGCTACTTCAAAACAGTGATAAGCAGTTTTTTATTTTATATAATATTTTACTTTTATGTATTTGTCTTTGGACATAGCCCAATTAAAAAATTTTTGAGAATCTCATTTTACTTTTATTCAGAATGAAACAAGCTTGATCAGAGAAGGACACAAAGGGAAGAATCTCATGGATAAATTTGCATTATTATTATCCACTAGAAGGTTAATATCCAGCTAAATTTCAGATAGCTTTCTAATCTTTCATCCTGAAACTGAAACCTGAAAACTGGGAGACTTTCTAATGATGGGAGATGGAAAGTCAGAAGTAAAACAAAACAAAACAAAAAGGAGTTATAACATCCTTGATATTCAAGATCAAACAATGCACCCATTTCCAAAAGAGTACCTTGAAATGTTAACTAGAGCAAATCAAAATGTAAGAATAATTGGTGCTTATATCAAGGGGCTGCTTTTAATAAACACAAGTTACTAAGTAACCACCAGTCTGATTTACTGTCTCTAAACCAGCCATATCAATGGACAAAAATAACATGGATTTAATTTAAAAGTTAGAAAGAAAATCAAACAATATGTGAAGACTCAGCAATATGCCAAATGTTAAATTGGCCTGTCCACTTGGCATGCAGAGATGCAAGATTGTACTAGAAGTTAATCTGATTTGCTTAGAAATGCAAATAATTTCTGACAAAAGCCACATCCAGATGTAGCTACATCCAGATCATTCCCGAGTTGAACATTCTGATGTCAACTCAGGATTTCTGAATGTACATTCACACGTTCAGTTGGACAGTTCACATGTTCAGATAGCTGGAATAAGCAAGTCAACAGGTACCAATAGTATTTTTTCGTTTGCTTTTGTTTTTAGAGTAGCGTTTTGTTTTTGTTACTGTTTCTTCAATTGATGATGTTGGCCTTCCTAGTTGATTATATGAACTGGGATTCAATTTGATGAAATGTTTGGTGATTCATATAAGGTTATGATTAAAACAATCAATAGCAGAAGAGGTGATGTAGTTTGGTTAGGAAGACATTCTAATATTTGTCATTTATTTAACAAATATTATCAAACAGCTGCTATGCGTCAACCCTAAGGAATGGAAAGCTGGCTCTAATATCTTCAGCAGTAACCATGAGTCATTTCCTGTAGTTTCAATTGAAGCCATCTATAAATCTTTCAAAAGGTCAAGAAAAAGATGTTAGTATTAGAATCACAAATCCAGTAGATTAATTAAAATGTCTCTGATTGGTAAATGTGCCCACCAGGAAAGCACCTAGCACTTCCTGGGCAGAATCTACATTATTTTCTCTCACATTCCTTCTACTTCTCATGTTTTGGGCAAGAATTATCAGCCTTCTTTTCTTTTAAAATGCAATCTCATTTCTTGGATTGTAGCTGTAAATTCTTACAGCTGGGAAGGGTTTAAAGGAAGGAAATGATCAAATGGTGTTAATTAAGTCCTATGTGCTGAAAGTAAGAAGGGGGAACTATTATTAACAATTCTTTATCACTATTTTTATCAGTCTGTCTTAGCAATGAACCCCAAAGACACCCTCCTCTCCAGAAGCAAATCTCTTTGCTGAGGACATCCTCAGGACACAGGTCCCTCACTACTCCCTCCAAACGTCCCACACCATAAGAATCCTATGAAACAGGAAAAGAGTACTAACAAACAGGCCTTGAAGGTTGAGATAGGCCTGAAGGATTTAGGTTATCTGCCTTATAATTTAAATTTTGGTGCTTACTTTACAGGTGGGGATAAGAAAAGAGGTTTCTTCTTGAAATTCCCAAGAACCAGTTGTTACATACATTACAGCTAAAGTGTATTCAAAAGCAGATTCTTGGTGGCAAACAATTTGCTGTACGCATGCCTGAACAAAAAACAAGCAGCCAATTCATTTTCCAGGTAGATTCTGGTAACATTTTACGCCTTTGAATGAAGAAGCTCTCAAGATGCAAATGGTAAACAAAAAGAGCCTACTGCTCAACAACATTAACTTGTATCAAAAATAAAGATATGTATAGTGTAGCTACACAATGCCCACTATAATCCAGTGGCAGAGTATATTTTTGAAGTGTAATGTAGCATCCATGCTGAAAATACAAAATTGCTAGTGGAAACAAGGATGGGAAAAAAACAAAACATGGTGGCTTAATTTCTGTGTAAAACAACCGTCAAAAACTACCCTCAAAAAAATTGAAACGGCCAATCAAACATTCAGGTGTAATTTATCTGCTGGAACAAATCTACCTTATTCACCTTGACAGGGCCTTCAATCATGAGACCATAAACCAGCAACCTAGTGATATCCATTATGTCTTCGGAAATACCTTAAAATCCAGGACTTCATGTTATTCTCAGTAATGAGCAGGATGTTTGGAAAGCAGTGTGCTCACTGGGGCTTACTCTGAAAGCTGTCTTCTTTACTTATTACCGAACACTGATTTTCAGAAAGCAAGCCACCCCACCCCAATTCCCAGGCACTTGAAAATTTTGTTTTTTCAGACCTCTAGATCGGGCTCCATTTCCTGAATTACTTATTCCTTATACAAATTTTCTTTTAAACTTCAGCAATTATGGCACCTTAGGCTCTGGTGGGTATTGGCAGCGTGGGTTGTTTTAGGGAAAGTTCTGAAATAAAACACGTTTTAGAGATATTCAATTTCTTTGTGCATGTCACTGGGGGGCTTTCGGTGAAGCTTTTAAGTTATTCAGGTGAGGGGCAACGTCTTAGTCGCTCATCAACGGCATAAAAGTAACATCATCTGGAAAGGCATGGCACCTGCTCGGCCGGGGTAAAGGTCCGTTTTTCTAACCCTCGCCTCTCCCTCCTCCGCTAGAGACAGCGCGGTGGTCTCTCTGAAGGTCGACATCATCTTCAAGGCTGCAACCCACGGCTGAATCAGAAACACGCGCACCCACGTACAGGTCAAGGCCAGAGTCCCGCCCCGCCGCCGGGAGCCAGGGCTTCCTGCCTCCCTATCAAGGTGAAACTAACCCCGAGGGCCCCGCGGAGGGGCGCACGCAGGCGGCACCGGCGGAGACGGCCGATCGCAGGACTGGCAGGAAGGAAGCGAACAGCCGCCAAAGTGCATTTCCCTCCCCAGAGCCAGCCCGGGATCGGACACCGCCAGCGGAAGGAGGGCCGGCGCGCGCCAGGCCACGGGGCACACGCACCCGCTGTGCGCACTTCCCCGGCCAGGGCGCGCTCTCCCTCGCGCGCACGCAGCTACTCACCAGCGACCCTCGATGTCCGCAGCCCGCGTGGGACGGCGACTGCGGCCCCCGCTCCTGCCGTGTGGCCTTGGCATCCGTCTGGCCGCTGCAACCCGGGCCGCGGTGGCTTTTGCTGGAAGCCGCTGCAGCGGGGTGATACCGGCACCCGGCGAGGAGGCGCCCCCTCGCTGGCCTCGGCCGTGCCTCCTCCCCCTTCTCCTCTGCCGACCGGTGGAGCTTTGCTGGTTCCACTCGCGCGGGCTCTGTGCGTCGCTCTCCTCCTCCTCCTCGTTGTCGGACACCCAAGCGCAGGGGACGAACAGCGTCCTCGCAAACCCACGCGCAGGCCGGCCGACCCCAAGCCTGCAGCAGCCGTCCCTGCTGCCGCCGCTGCAGGGAAAGAAATTGTCACTGCGATGGTCCCGGCCTCCCCTGCCCCGGCCCCTGGGTGCCGCCTCCGCCTCTGCCTCCGCCCCCTCCTCCGTGGCGGCGGCGGCTTCCCGCAGTCTGCAGAAAAAGCTCGCAGGTGGAAGCAGCGTCCCTGCGGAGGGCCTAGAGCGAGAGTGAAGCGGTTAGGTGCGACTTTCGCTTCGGAAACCCTGCACGCCTCCTCCCCAGCCCGGAACCACCTAAACTCCGTTTTGCTCCACCATCAATTTCACCGAGATGGACAAGAGTGGTGCCTTTGAAGACTGCACAGTACACAAGCCTCGATGCAGCTGGTTTTGACCGTTAAACTGTCACTGGAGTCTAGGGAAGAATAGGGTTTTAGTGAAAATCCCACTTCTACCTCATATTAGGAATTCCTTTTTTGATATTTATCCATAACCGGCTACGCCCACCGTGAAGCACCTTAGCTCTTCTCCCCATCCCCAATCTATGTGTACCTGGAAAATACGAACTATTAGGATACCTCCTGGATGTTATTAGATTACTATCACAGGCGGTGTTCTTACTACGGTTCTGGCTCTGTGTCAGGTAGTCGGTACACGAAATCTTATTCCATCTGCTACAACCCTATTTATAAAAAAGACTCGCTTTTTGTTTTTGTTTTTTCCATGAACAAGAGACAGAGAAGTAACATAATTTATCTCGGGTTACTCACCTAGAAAGCAGTAGAAGCTAAAATTTAAACTCTGATCCAACACTGAGAGCTGTTTCTATTGGCTTGACAGGTTCTATTAATGTATAAACATTTTATGAAGACTGTTGCTGCTGGTTGAAATAGAGTCGTTTTCTTGAGCTTGGTTGGGAGCTGACTTCCAAGTGAGAGAAATGACTGCAGAGTCGGGTGGGGGAACACTGGCTTTTCTTAGATAGCTTTTCCTCTGGAAACCAAAATTCTAGCCCTGGCTCAGCCACCAACTGAGTTATTTGGTCTTAGGCATTTCACCTTCTTAGGCCTCATCTCCCTGCATTGTTGTTTTTTTTTAAAAAAATGAGGAGGTTTGATTGTTGGAGTCAGCCTGCAGCCTTGATTTTTAAGAAGCAATAGTGTTGTTTTTCTTATTTTGAAATTGGTTGTGAATTTCGAGGTTAGGAAATTTCACAGAAATTCAGACTTTTCACATTTTCTGTAAAATTGTAACATCAGACAACATTTGGTCCATGGCGAGTTCTAGCAGCATCAGCTGGAGTTGAACAGCGGGGATCCCCTTTAGACTGTGAAGACACTCTTCAGTTTTCCACAGACCCCACTACTCCCATACACCCCCGCCTCACTGACATTTGAGAATATGGTAGGCATTTGAGTTTACAGTATTGGACCAGATAATCTTATGACCTACTGGACAATTTAAAATTCAGTGATAATTAAGGTTAACCAGATTTCTAAAAAGCATCATGAAACAAAAAATTCTACATACATATTTAGGATGGTCATTGATCATGGTCTTGCTATCTAGCATCCAAATTCTTATAAAAGCCAATATGGCCCAACACTCACCATTTTGTGACCCAGTGTCAGCCTCAGAGACTCCTGTACAGTTATGTGAATCTGAACTATGTTTTAAAGAAGAAACATTTTAGAAATACCTCCATTATCTGTGAAGTGGGTTTTGTGTTCAGCGATAGTAGTAGTGCCAGAGGTGACACTGTGGCAATGCCAGTGGTGTCCTAAGTGGGCTGTTTGAATGGTGTAATGACCCACCTGTTTTAATTTCAGCTGCTAAGCTTCCCTGCCTATGTGAGAAGCTTGATTTGCCAAACTTCCTGTCTCTTTGTTATGCTACTTAATGACTTTGCAATATATTTATCTTCTGATTAAGTCAGCCAGAAATGATTTCAGTGTTGCAACCAAGAACTCTGATATAGCAACTTTAGGTGTGATTTAAGCTATTTCCCTTTTATTAATTAAGTTAATGAAGAGCAGGCTCCAGTGTATTTATACAACTTTTATCTTAGAGAATTTTTAAGTGACCTATAGTTTTACTTGCAATTTTTTAAGATTCAATCTCAGTAACTTAAAATCCAGATTTTATTTTTAAGAATATTTTACCCTACTAAACCTTGAATGAAGATTTAAAATCTATATCAAAATACACATAAGCAGTATTATTTTGTAGATAGGAAAATGATGACTCATGTTACAGAATACATGAAAGCAGAGCAGTGAGGAAATCCCGGCCTATTTTCTGACATGGTAGAACAGGGTTTTGGACCTCCTGAATTCAGCAAGAGTATAATTTGCAAGTAATTGCTCTCTTGAAAATCAGAGTTGACCACACTTGTAGTCAAATTCATTCCTGATGGTGCATACTGGGTTCCAGTGCATTACTGGAAGCTGGACTGGAGACAGTGACCATGTTTCTTCAAGAATCTTCAGCAGTGTGCACAGGGGAAGCCTGCTTTCTGAGGGTGCTGAACTTTCTGTGCTGGTATCTAGATCTTCACATTGGCACACATAATTTCTCAGAGAGCAGCATGCCACCATTCAGTGAATTTAGGGGGGAAATCAAGTGTCAGTGTAGTGTCTGCTGAATGCCTGTTCTTAGGGAAGCCAATAACTCACTAGAAGCAGGCCCTTCATACCCACAAGTGGATTGAAAGTAGGGTTTACTCAGCTGACAGGGACTGGCTGGGATGTCTAACAGCTGACCATCTTCTTGTTTCATAGCAACACGTGGGATTTCCCATCTCTGGGGATGTTGCAGAGCGGAGCATCCAAAGTATAAGTGGTGACCTGAACAGCAATGTGCAGTTTTCCATACATCTCATGAAATCTGACCACAAAAACAAGCGCATCTTTCAGTTTTTTCCTCACTTTGGCCAGCAGTTCCCCTGAAGACACACGTCTTCCCAGGAATCTTGATACATTTCCTTCTGCAACACCTTTAGTATCTCTATCACAGTTGCTAACATATTTGACTGGATATGGATTATCATATTTAAATTAGTGAACTTTATGCTTTCTGGGTTCATGATGTGAGAAAAAAATGAACATAACTTTTGCCACCTGGTTCTAATGCCACAGAAAACAGGATGCTCTCCTGGAGAGAAATCCTTTGGTTAGGGCTTCTTTTCTTTATGTAGTACAGACTTTGAAAAATTCAGAGCTATTCAGTTTATAGCCAACTGCAAAAGACAGAACATAGGTATCCTGGTGAACTTCACATCTGGGTTTTCATCTTTGTCAACATTTCCAAAGCACTTTTATATTTGCCTTTGATAAGTAACATATCCATCGAAATAGTAATTCAGTGTGGAGTCTGAGAACCCTTGTAAATGCTCATCTTTTATGAGCTCTGTTGCAGATGCCTCAAGATCCGACTCATAAAACAGTCTTATGAAAAGTGGTCCACACTTATATTCCTCCAAAATGACATTTCTGTTTTCTGCATGGTACTTGCAAGTGGCGTTTTTAGCCAGCTCCATATGGTCCCAGGACTCACACAAATGAAGTAAGGTTCTCAACTTCCCCTTCAAGATGAGCTTGTTCTAGGTCAATTTTCCTTCCAAGTTTCTAAAATAGATTTCTTTGGTGCCAGGAAGATTATATGCAACAGCCACCTTCTTATGCTGAAATTCTTTTGTTTTCACAATATTATCTGTAAGTAGATATCTTTTAGCTCCAAGAGGACAGTGGCAGCAGGTGGAGTTGGAGTCACTCATCCCAGGATACACTGAAATCTGCCCAGCTGGCAGAAGAATTCATCTGGAGTCTCAGACTATACCAACTCCAGACGTTTTTAAAAGATATGATTTTTCCCCTTACCAGTCATATTAACAAAGATTGCTTATCAATAAACATTTCTTCATTACTAGTGAGGGTGCAATGAAATCAGTGCTCTTATCTGGTGGTGTGATTTTTGCTATACTGCTGGAAAGGAATTCATTAGTGGTGTCAAGGAACATTCTAAAATATATCTTCCCATCCCCCATAGTAATTCCACTTCTAAGAAGCAATTATCGTAAGAAAATCTGGAATAAAGAATAAGAGTCCTGCACTGAGGTATTTATCACCAACTTTGGGTATTAAAATTATGTTTATTATGGACTTTTAATGACGTTGAAACTGCTTATGATACAATGTTAAGCAAACGAGGATACAAAATTGCATGCATATAAATCTTAAGTAGGTAAATCTCAAATAGATGAGAATACAGGAACAAATCTAAGATAAATTATTTAAATGGCCTCCTAGAAATTGGCTATGGGCAATTATGATTTACTTCTTTATACTGTACTACAATTTTAATTTTTCTCTAAAGGATGTGCTCTTCTTTTATTTTAGAAGAAAAAAACATTTAGTAATTAAAAAATAAACAGGCCTAGCATGGTGGCTCACACCTGTAATCCTAGCATTGTGGGAGGCTGAGATGAGTGAATCACGTGAGCCTAGGAACTCAAGACCAGCCTCTACTAAAAATACAAAAAAGTAACCAGGTATGGTTATTTTAATTGATTAACCATATATTAACCGTGTATGCCTGTAGTTCCAGCTACTCAGGAGGCTGACGTGAGAGAATCACCTGAGCCTGGCAGGTCGAGGCTGCGGTGAGCTGTGACAGTGCCACTGTACTCAGCCTGGGCAAAAGAGTGAGACCCTGTCTCCAAAAATAAAAAATTTTTAAAAACACACAGATTTGGCAGCCAGATAAATATGAGGTGGAACCTGCCACAGTGCCTCATTCATGATGGGTACAATATAAATATTGGAGAAAAGGACAAAGGTAAGAATAGAGAGGAAGGAAGGAAAGGCACATTATCTCACAAAGAGTGATGAATTGAGGGATTGTGACTCCCCTGCCAATTGCTTAGTTGATGGCATACATAGAAATAGGCCATTACATTCTAAATTGGTTCACTAAGTAATGCTGCATTTGAGTATTTCCAACTGATGACAAGTGACAAGACATTAATACCTTTCTCACTGAATGGAGAATATGGAACCAGCACTCAGATTTTTTCTGTTCTATAACATCAGAACATCTGTTCTGAGAAGATGGCATAGCCTCAAGTGTTGGTACTGAGACAAAGAGGACCTTTGCTGCCTCTGACTGGTCTTAATACGGAGGTCTGTCACTCTATCTTTAAGTTACCCCAAAGGCCACGAGCTTGGGGTAATCGCTCATCTCCCCATCTGGAAATGTCCTACTAGGATCTTATTTCTTGGAACCGATGGCACAAAAAGAAAATATTTAGTGTTGAATTTACCTTTATCAGGAGATTAAAACTATGTTCATATATTGTTCTGGAATTGTTTGGTAATGCACACAAAGTGGTGATTCTCACTGGGTACTGTTCCTGACACCAGATAGGCTGAAGTCCTTGTTCTTTGTTTTAAATTTACAA